ACCGTTTCCGTTTTCTTTCAGTTCTTGCAGTGATGAATAATGCTGCTATGAATACTGGTGTACAAATCTCCGTTTGTATCTCAGTTCTAATTTCCTTTGAGTATGTTCCTAGTAGTGAAATAACTGGAAAATATGTAATTTCTTTATTATTATTATTAATTTTAATGAACATTTATAGAGACTTTGGATTTCCATTCATCCATTGTTGCATTTTTCTCCCTGCCCACCCCTACCCCCCAGTTAGCTCTTACACTTACACAGGACAAACCTATTGCTGCCCAACAGTCTCGCTTCCAAATATCCCACTTTTAACTTCCCTGATGGTCACAGACAACTGTCAATTTTATAACCTTTAGTCTTTATAAGAATGCGTCCTGTTCTATGGTGCAGCGTTCCAGCTGTTTGCACTCTGTGACCACAGACCTTTTTGAGTCTTGACCACCTCTCTCCCTCAGTAAGCTTCATGTGCTTTTGTATAAACAAACTCTGTGGTGTTGCTCTGTGACAAATCCAAATAACAGATTGACTTATAAAATAGTATCACCTGTGGAAATTGTATTCTCTTAATCAACTGCGGTCAATGAATATCTACTCTAAGGAAAAAAAAGAAGTTAAATAGGGGCAAGAAAGCTCGATAATGGAAACAGAATAGACATAATGGAAATAATGAGAACGCTGGCGCATTGTGGGAAATGTAACCAAAGTCACAGACAACTATGTATAAAGTTGTTAAATAGGAACTTAATTTGCTGTGTCAACTTTCAACTAAAATAAAACACAGTATCATTATTGTTACCACTTAAAAAAAAAAAAAGAAAAGTAAAAGAAAAATTCTTTCATTGTTATATAATCCCTCCCCCAAGTCCACTCCACTATGCAACCTTCATTCTGTACTCTTGTCATGCCTTCCCGAGTGGTTGTGTCATTTTACAGTCCCACCAACAGTGTATGAGAGTTCCTACCTCTCCATACACTCTCCAACATTCACTACTTGCTGCTCCTTCAAACCTTGCCACTGTGGTATCTTATTGTGGTTTTAATTTGCATCTCTCTTATTGCCAGTGATATTGAGCATTTCTTCATGTGTCTGTTGGCCATCCAAAGCCGTCCTCCATGAACAGTCCTTACATGTCTTTTGCCCATTTTATAATTGGGTCACCACTCTTTTTCTTCTGGAGACCCAACAGTATTCTGTAAACTTTTGTTATGAGACCCTTGTCTGAGATGGCATTGCCAAATGTTTTTTTCCCCAGTAGGCAGGTTTTTTTTTTATTTTTTCAGAAAAGGTTTTTGATGAGCGCATTATTTAATCTTTAGAAATTCCCATCCATTTATCAATTTCATTCTCTCCAGATGGCGCATTTCTGGCTGTGTCAGCCTCTTTATACCCTCCAAGCTTTTCCCTAGTCTGTCTCACATGGACTTTATGGTTTGGGTCTTGAACATAAATCGTTCAAAGCTAATATTTCTCAGTCTGCTATTTTTTGGCTAAGGCTAAAACACTCAGATAGGGCATTTGGACCCTAGCAGATATGGAGAAAGATAATGAAAGGAATATAAAGACATATTAACTAATAAGTAAATCTATTTTTCTTTCCTTTCTTTTACACAAAACCTCTAGAAAATTTGATTTTTACTTCTTTTTTTAATCCATCATAAATAGTAGGTGTCTGTTAATTTGATCTCAACACAGTCCACAAATTAAATTCTGATAAATTGTTCTAATAAGTTACTTTTTTGCACACTCATAGTAGCTTAAGGAATCACAGAAGACAGATCTAGAAATTTTAGTTATTAATTTTATAAATAAAATTGCTCAATGTTGGGGGGAAACGTATATTTTGTTAAAATTAGTTACACCTTTGTGGCTAGATTGATGTGTCATACATTCTTTTTGTGCTGAGTTGGAAATGCACCTTGTCCTTTTGTTCCTTTGACTTGTCTGTAAAGCCATAGATAAGGTCATGTGCTTCTTAGATAAGAGAGGTATGCACAAGGCATCTTTGTCTTTACTAGTAAGACATTGATTAGTCTTAGTGAGTTAGCTATGGTTTCAACTGAAAAATTGAACAATATTGTAGAAACATTTAAAAAGTTAACATCTGGAGAGTTGGGGAGAGAATGGGAAAAGAGTAGATAAATAATGAACAGTGCAGTAGAACAGATGAGGGGAAGAACTGCCCAGAAGGAATATATGATTAGGCATTGTATGTATGGAGAACAGTCTGGAACACAAGGTGGACTGAAGGGTGGGCTGAGGGGAGAGAATAATGTGAATTAAAAAAAAAAGAAAATTAAAGGTTAACGTCTGAGTACCTCTGTTCTTTTTGTTTGTTTGTTTTTTGTTTTGGGTTTTTTTGTTGGTTTTTTTTTTTGTTCTTTTTGTTTTGTGAAACAGAAGGTTAATTGTACAAATTAAAATTACAAATTAAATGCACTCACTATTTCAGTTACAAAGATGGAGATTTAAAAAGGTCTTGGAATAAGAAAGTCAATTGAATCACATACTTAGTAATATTGTTTTATCTACTCTGTAGAATTTAAACTTGCTTTCTCTGACAAATGAGAAGGTACAATGTAGTTAATGTAAAAAGCATCAGTGTTTATATATTTTTAAACTTTTGATATCATGTAGAAGAACTACCCTCAGAGGAACTGATTATATTTTTACACTAGTCAGAACTTAATATTGTAATAATAGAAAAATGTTGAACTTGGGGCAATGGAATACTGGTAGATAAATGGCAAATACAGTACCGTTATGAGGTTAGTTTAATTGGTAACTTTTAAAACTCTTCAGTTTTTAATGTTATTATGTACTATCAAGTTGGAACCAACCCACAGCTGACCCTCCAGCAGCTTTTTAGAGGCAGTAAATAGCATGGGAAGATGTTGCCCATCCTTCTTCTGCACAACAGCTGTGGATTCAAACTGCATGCCTTCAGATTATCAGCACAACTCCTTACTGCTAGACCACAGACCTCTTGGATAGTATTGTTTTAGAATGATACACCTAAAACTTAGAAGGATTTTGAAGCTTCATCTGACATACTTTGGACATACTGCAAGGGGGGACTGGTCCTTTGAGAGGGCCATCATGTTTGGGAGAGTGGAGGGACGACGCAGGAGGGGAAGACCCTCAATGAGATGGATTGATTCTGTGATTGGGGTGGTGGGAGTAGATGTGTTGGAGATGGTGAGGTTGGCTCAGGATAGAACAGAGATTAGGGCTCTTGTACATAGGGTCATTATGAGTCGCAAGCAACTTGACGGCACATAACAACAACAACAACTGATTTTTTCCGTTTAAGGAATGTTGACGTAGTGTTCAATAGTTGTTGTGTGCCATTGAGTCAGATATGATTCATAGCAGACCTTCTGTTGTTAAGTGCCTTCAAGTCATAGACGACTCATAGTGACCCTATGAACAGAAGACCTGAACACTTGTATAACTTTGGTCATTTCTCCATGTTTATAGTTTACGGAGGCAAACCATTTCGGAAATGGATGCCATTCCTGCTTCCAGGCTTGTTTTTAATTGGGAAGCTCCACCAAACACTGTCCACCATGGGTAACCATTATCTCATTTAGCATCACAGCAACCATGAGTTACCTCTGTACAGCAATACACAGACCACTGTTAAACCACTTAGAACAATGTTTGACAAAAAACAACTAAAACCAGGACTGAGAGCTGCAGATTTAAATCATCCACCTTTGGCTTGGTAGCATAACTTTTCATCCACTAGGTTCTGTAGAACCCGGCTCCTGCAGATGACTTTCAAAATGGATTCCAGCCCCATACTGGTGACCAAAAGAGTTTTTCAATAGGAGGCCAAATCACTTCATCTCACACCCCTCAGTGAATAAACATTCCACTGTATTGCTCAGCAGGCCCAGCCAACAAGCTTCGGTAGAACCCGGCTCCTGCAGAAGACTTTCGAACTGGGTTCCAGCCTCATACTGCTGACCAAAAGGGTTTTTAATGAGGAGACCAAATCACATTATCTCACTCCCCTTAGCAAATCAACATTCCACCTTAATACTTACCAATCCCAGCCAACAAGCTTCTGTTGAACCCAGCTCCTGCGGATGACTAGGGTCAGTGAAATACTGATATATGGGCAAATGCAGTACCATTGTGAGGTTAGTTTAATTGGTAGTTTTTAAATCTCTTGAATTGGTTGGCAGCACGACTCTTTAGTATTAAGCCACCAGTGCTTCCTGTTCAAGTCATTATAGAAAATACATTATTTATTATTAGGTAAATTTATTCTCATTTCAATAACAGGCCATATGCTTAGCAAAAAAATTTTTTTTAAAAACCCAACAAGCTAGAGAATTTAGAATAATAAATAAGTGGATATTTTTAGAAAGTAAACCTTAGACTTCGTTGATGTTAATTAAATGTGCTGTATTTAATAGGGAATTAATAAAATCCTATTGTTACTGTCTACTAGGCTATGTCCTTTCAAATGTATGTGGGTAGTTAAAAGAAAATCAGCCAATTAAAAAATTTATATCAAAAAATGGAGATTTTTATTTATCCTAGAACTGATTTGAGTAGCTCTTGTGGCACAGTGATTAAACACTTCGCTGCTTAATGGGAAAGTTTGTGGTTCAAACCCATCAGCTGTTCTGTGGGAAAATATGTTACAGTCTAAAATGACAGCCTGTGAACCCTGTGGGACAGATCTGCTCTATCATACGGGATTTCAGTGAGTTGGAATCAACTCAGTGGTGATGGATTTTAATTTTAGATATTTATTGCTGAATGGTTTTGTTTTGTTTTTAATTTGTACTGCTTTAATAACTGACGGGAAAAATATGGTAGGATTAGCTTAAAAGTTACAAAATGTGCTTGTAGATTGAAAATTCATATATCTGGGAAAATACTGTATTTCTCGTGATTATATAAATCTTAGATTTGATTAAAATGCTGCTGTTGACCTTTGCCTTAAAGTTCTTAAGTAACATGTGAAAAACCAATGTTTCCATAGGTTCTGCACCTCCTTTAGTGACTCCGCCTCTGCCTAGTACTTTTCAACCAGGAACTCCTATTGGACCCCCTCCAACTGGAGGCCCACCACCACAGACATCATCACATAGTGTTGTACCTCAGCCCCCATTTAATTCACCTGTAAGCCAAGCAGGTAAGCAAGTTAAAAAACAAAGTTAAATCCAATAGTCTCAATGTAGGGTGGAAAGATGAACATAACATGAATTCCATGCATCAGAATCAGATCCCCCACTCACAGAAAATGTAGTTTGTTTAGAATCAACCTTAAGAATGAAGAGTTGTGAGAAGCTCATCACATGGATACTTTACTTGCTGATATGTCAACTCAAAAGGACTTCTTAGATTAAGGAGAGATAAGGAATCTCGATTGCCTTTTGGGAAGGATTTCAAGTTTCATTTGGGACTTTTCAATGTTTGTATCTTTCATATTGAATTAAAAGATTACCTAATTGATATTTACCATTAATGCATAATCTAGCAATTGATTACAAGTGTAAGTAGTAGCCAAATTTCTAAAATAAAGATGATTTTTTTTAAAAAATAAAATAATGAAGAGTTCTAAAAAGTTTCTCAACAATTCAACTGCCTTATGTTGTGAATTTGTTAAAAAATGTTAAAGACTTAATAATGAGCCTAAATAAAAAGTTGAATATACACATATTTTTAA